GAAGGGGAAGGATCTACCTTTAATATAGGAACGGCGTTTCTATGCGTAGGTCCTTCTTCTCCGAAAACGAAGTGTTTGCTCAAGTCGAAAACTGTTAATAAGCTATTACCTCTAAAAGACCTGTAGTGCTGTGAACATTCTATCGTTTAAACTTGTTTTGCGATAAAATCGAGACTTGTAGTTTATATATTGTTTATTTTGGCCAAGTACTCTACGAACGATAGTGAAAATTAAAAAAAAAAATATTTTGACAATGTTTACTTGGTAGAAGGACCATATCTTAATCTTCTTGATGCACAAGAGCAGTTTGGTCAGTTTGGTTACTATATATTGCGCAAGGCATGACGCTATCAGAAACTCAAAGTTTGATGAAGATGAACGACTGTCAATCTCCTGTCAGAATATTAATTCGAGCAATAAGCCCGTTAGCGGTCAAGTTACCGAGTTGAATCTGATCTGACAAGTTTTAACTACTGTCCAAAGCCAATCAGTAAACCAAAGAATGAACAGGTGAAGGTTGCAGTTTAAATTTCTTATCGTTGAAAAAGTAGAGGTAGTCTCCTTCAACGCAGTTCATTAAATTAAATAGTTTATATACTTAGAAGGCCCGAACTGGTCAAACACATATCGTTTATTGCTCCGAGAAACCCACAGAAAATTAAAGTTTATTTTAATCACGAATTTGTTACTCTCACGGTGTTCTCCCAATTAACATCCCAAGTGGGTTACTGCGTCGATAAACCGGACAGAGAACGTGGCCTTTTGCTTAAAACAAACCAGTGAGCTGTAATATGTACTTCTAACCTTAAAAGATTAAAACTATTTGCGCAGAACAGGAGCTTAGAATAATACATGGGAATAACAAGAGGGGCGGCTTCACGTGAATGAACCCCAGGTAAAGGTCGATTTATAACAGACTTGAAGCTCTAAGCTGTGATTAAGTCACGGACAACATAATAATGTCTCTTTTTCAGTTTGCTCTACGTGATAAGAGGGACACTGATTTTTCCGGGACGTAGAAATACGTGCAAGAAAACAACAAAAGTTTGTGCATCAAAGTTTACCACAAAGGCACGTTCCGTGACAGGTACCTTTACCCAAGCGAAGTACCGGATTACATTCTTTCGCGTACCTGACCTAATGAAGAAAAAAAATCAGAAAGACAACCCTTCCCTCAAGACTGATTTATGCACCCTTTGGGCAAAAGGTCCTCGTTTAAAAAAAACAGGTTATTACACTGTCACGCTTAGTAATGAGACACTCGTGACTTCGAACAAGGAAACAGACGCAACTGACTCATCTATAGTCACCGACCGAGTCATGCATGTGTAGGCGCCAATATGTCTAAGGTGGCTAAACATCACGTTTTACTTACTTATGACAACGCATTGCTACCCCTCACGTTCAAGTTATAAAAACACTCACTAATCAGGTGCCCATATAGTTCACAAGGGTTGATTGTTGCTATCTAATACGCACTTCTTGCCAAACGGGCAAAGGATTAGCTTACTGTCTTTGGATCTGCGTCACGGACGCATGTGTCAAATGTATGTCATTCACACTTTAGATCTAGCACTTCGTTACAATAGGTAAAATTATGTCGAACAAAGAAAAAGCATTTTCATACAAACCTAGCTTTTGGTGATCATAGCCTGATTTTCTTTTTCTTTCCTTTTTTTTTTCTGTACAATTTCACAAATAGCAAATACCATTTGGTGTCCTTCCAAAGGCCCCCTCTAACCTTAATTACGATGAAATCATGATGTATGTATTCAAACAGGCGCTTCGAGCAGGATCCACTGTGCGGTGGGAGTTTTTAAGGGTGGCAATGTCACTGAAAAATCATTATAGACTGAAAGCACCATTCTTATCATTTATTTGAATATCCTGGTCAAAATGTGGATGAAAGTTCATTTCAATACTCATACAGAAAGTCGTGGAATACTTGTGTTTAAATCCGAAAGCCGGAAGCATAATTCAGAGAAGATTGGGGTCGGCGACTTGGAGCGAGTAAGTCAGACAGTGGGGAATGATCTTCAACTAAGGCTGGTGGATAAGCTTTAGAGGCCCTTTCTCTAAAATCAAATGCCCTTACTTCTTACAGCTACTCCCTCCCATGGAGACGAAGCCGTGATGTTGTTACTAAGAGTTTGGGAAGGAGTTGATATACGTGACGCGTGACTAAGGCAAAAATTAATACGTGACATCTTGAATTTTACAGAAAACTAGTATTGGGGAGCGTGTTTCAATTGTGAATTTGAACCTGCAGTGTGGGGCCGGCGTGATTAGCCTCCCGAAATATACGTGTCCCGATTATGCGCAAAGTGCTCGATCTGCAAAGGTGAATTCTCGCAGAACAAAAAAATTCGCACAAAAGAATTGTAAATAAAAACTTCATTTGTAAAAAAAAAAAATCATTTGTATTCTTTGAATTCGGATTTGGTTTAACTATCTATACCCACAAACGATGTTCTCTTCCCGAAAACTATCAGAAAATCGCAAAAGTTAGTTCCTTTCAGAAATTTCCGTCATCACTTCCGTGAAAATCTGCTACCTCAAAAACCCAAACATTCGGTCTATAATTAGTCAAATACGACTCCGACAGCATTTTACATGCCACACATGTAAAAACAAAAATGAAAATGTAAATCCCCAAAGGCTTCCATGAATCCCTTCGATATTCGAGAGCTCAAAATTACGATGATTAGTTCAAAGACCAATTTTTTTCCCCCTCAAATCAACGTCCAAAGTACCAGCGAATTAAGGCTCCCATCCTGAGCAGAGTGAACAAAGGTTGGCCAATCTAATCATTCTTCGCCCTGGTCCGATCCACGCTCGCTTCGGGCCGATCAAGATGGAAAAGCCAAGTGTAACAAACCCACACTCCTTTGCCTCTCTGTTCGCACAGAATTGTAAACACACTTCCCGAGAGAGGGACTTTTCTTTACCGTAACGGGAACTTAATACAAATTGTTTCCTGTGGAGCAGAGTTACTGAATTGTAACAAAATTAGTTAGTGCGTTTATGGCATAACTTGTCTGTGATTATTAAAATCTTTGATTCATTTTCACAAGGAATGTAGGCAAACAGCTCAGAACCATTATTAAACCTCCGTACACCCTATCAACTGAAAAGTCGTGGGTACCGCGGGATTGCTTTGACATTGAACAGGAAGTAAAGTGATAACCGTGAAAGTTTCGGCGCTGAGCCAGAATCAAAACAAAACATAAAAACTGTTGTGTTCCCCGGTTTTTGAATGAAAAGTTACCCCAGCAAGGTTTCTTTCCCTGAAATCACTTTCAATTACAAACAACGTCAGAATCCGTGACCCGTAGTGATTGCTGTCATTTAAAAGGGTTAAACGAGTTCCGGAAATTCTTAGGTTATGACTCATACCCTCTGAGCTTGGTATTTGTTCGCGTGAGTCGGCGGCTAGTGTCTAAAGTTATTGTATCTGCTGGGGGACAATCAATAGCACTCAGACTGTGAGCAAGGAAAGAGTTCTGACGTAAATTAAATAATTGCGGAGGATTTCACAGCAATATTTCAGGCGTTTGTATTACCAGTCATTCTTTTTCGAGAGAAGACTAGTGCTAAAGTCCGGCGAACTTATCACAGAGGTGAGTAAAATTTCTATCTAACTTATGTTTCATAAGTTACGTCAGATTGTTTGATCCGCTTATTTGTTCAGCGCATAATTCCCACGCTGTATCATCTAATGCTGTCCAAAAACTTTTGTTAACTATAACTGCGTTAATCCATCGGTATGTCGAATTGAAAAACTTGATTATCGGTAAGCCTTACTTGCAAAACGTTCTAAGTTCTTTATCGAGATAACTCTAGTTCAATCAACCCGAAAGGATTGGTGAATGTAATCGCATTTTTAAACAAGAGTAACAACTCAGTTGAAGTTAACCCGATAAAACTGAAACCTTCACCAAGTTCAAATACGTAAGTCTGAAAATATAAAGAATATAATACAAACCTAAAAAGCTTCAAGTAAATCGCGCTGTTTATCATACAAACGTTAAAATTGTCAGTCCGACAAATTTGAAGTTAGGAAAGAAAATAGGAAAGGACAAATTCAGAGTTTTCATGCTTGTTGGCAATGTCAGGAACACTTTCTAGGCGCGTTCAGGTTTGTTGAAATAGTTTTTAATATTAGTATGAGGGCAAAATCCTAAAAGGTCACCGACACTTTTTTATAATATTAAAAATAAGAGGTAAATATACCTAAATATGTAAGTAATTAATTGGGATAAACACACTTTAATTTACTGCCATGGCAACCAAACATTTTTGTCATCAATTTATCATCATTCAAAATACTGGAAACATTTTAGAAGTAGTCAGTTTCGGGCGAAGTGAGATGGCATGCAGTAGGCTGCGGATTTTCTGTTCAATTGCATTGGTCGATTCTATTACTTCAGCCGCTTCACAAACAAAATTAAAAATATCGTTTTCTATCCCTTTGGATCAAAAAAATTACTTAAAAAAACAGTAATAACAATGTAAGGTCCCCAACAAAGAATTATGAGTACAACTTCTGCCTACGAGCGGCATTTTCAGCGCAGCAGGAACAGAATTGCAATACATGATGACTGACTACATGGATTGTTCCTCCACTGCTGAAGGTCACGGCAGAGTATTGACCACTTTCAGAAATGGCTGCCGGATTAATATTCTTTTGTTTAAATTTAAATTAGCCTTTCTGGCTTCGTTCTCCAGTTCAAAGTTAAAAAGAAGACATCATCTCAAGCGAGGCTAGTGAGGCTAATCTGAATTTAAACAAAAGAATATCAATGTTTTGGTTAAACAAGCAAGGGTTACTAGTGATAACATCGCACTTTCAGACTGACGAGAATAGCGTCTCCTCCATGAATGAGATCAACTGACGTAAGATCGAGACGTCAAGGCCAAAATGGAGTACACGCGCTAAAAAATTTCATGCTAAAAGATAAACACGCACTTGAAAATTAGAGCATGGACGTTGGGAGTAAATATAATTACAGTAATCAATGGACGTTGTGATCAAAACGTCAAATCAAAAACAGATAGCGAAATTATGCTGTCTAAAGGATAAGAGTGAAATATTACTCATCTTGGAATGAAGGGTATGAAGTTATGAAGGTATGAATGTCAACGCAATTAAAGATCCTCAGCGGGTTTGCATAGCTTCATAACTCCTCCAACAATATAAGTCTGATATCAAAGGTATGATTACGATAAGATGAGATTGCTCGAATCGTTGTGATTTTTTAACCTTTATGCAGACGTATGCATTTTTTTCGGTTTGTAAACGTATAGCTCTTCAAGTTGGCTCGAAGTACTTGTAACGCAAACGACGATTTTGGCGAAAAGATGACTATGCTTTTCTTTTTTTTTTTTTTTTTCACGATTAAACGGAAATATACTCTAAGCAAGTCGACTATTTAATGTTTATTTTTCCTGACCAACCGAAAAAATACCTCACGTTGTCCTAGATCGTGTTTACTTTCCGTCGGTCGCGTGCCTTACATTTGACACTGCATATGAGGGGGTCGACAAACAACCATCTTCATGCAAATCATAATTTATTGTAACTGTTTCGGCGTTAGAAGGTTCAATATAGCTTTCCGATCCGGAATCGATTCATTAACAGAGAAAAAAGATAAACGGAACAACCCCTCAAGATGAATTTAAAACATGAAGAGGCACTACCAACACCCCCAAATTTGCCTTGAATTCTATAAATAAGTAATACAGATCTTGATCAAATATCGAGATCTAAGCAAAATAAGTAATAAAGTATGGGGGGCGGAATTTTCCCTCAATTTCCATGGCATGTTTTAGCGTGTAACAGTTAACTATTTCTATACAAAAGAAATATTGCAAAATATCTTAAAAACACTCTTTTTTAAAAAATAAATTCCTGATTTCTCAGTGTGATTAGAATCGAGGAAAGGGGGCGGGGGGAGTAGCTATCAATACGTGATAAAAAAATAGCAGTGGATCTTTATTTTCAGTCCAGAAGAGCGATAATAAAAGCAAAGTAAACAGAACAGGCTAAGACATGGGCGTCCATGTGACTTACACGATTTAACGCAGTGGTTGACCTAAGCATTTACGGTGTTTAGCAAAACCTAGAAATGCACACGAAAATCGACAAATTTATCTGACTTTTGTTTTCTTTTTTCACAATGTCGCGTTGCGAAATGCTCACGTGCCTGCGTGTTGACGATGCCTGAGCAAACGCAGTGCTTCTGAAGTAGGAGGGAAACAACTTCATTTGCGTATCTTTGTTTATTTATCCCTTCAGAAATTAATAAAAGCTCGCTATCAAATGCTTAAAAATTTAACCGCTGACTATTGCGCAAAAGACCGAATTAAGAAAAAAAAACAATGTTGTCAAAAATACATTTATTTTCGGAGAATATTTCTCGAGCTATGTTTAGAAAACGCAAAAAGAGGTTCTAGAGATTGACACAAATTTGGTAACCCGGGTTTGGCAAATTTCCATAAAAAGCCATGATGCGATTTCTTGACAAAATCGTGGTTACCACCTCAACTCGCTCGGAAATTATTTGATCTTTAAACCCTAATTAACTTACGTAACATCAGGGGATTGAGAAGCAAACAATTTAAAACACGATAAATTTCTGCTTTACTCTGCTATTTCTGCAAAACTTGCAGAATTTTCTCATTTGACCTCTCACCGCTTGGCTATTGTGACGCTGTATGTTAAATAACTCCCCGCGAATTTTATCACGTACGCAGTAAACTTAACTCTAACGAAATTGATTTTACACGCATAGCACATCAAATACCCCACAAGGAAAAAATTCTGGACAAACTGAAAGCAAAATCGAAATTTCTTTGGTCGTGTCGTGAACTGTCTTGTTGAAATAATATATTACTCTGTGAGCACAAGGCGTTCAGGGAAACAACGTCATCACATGCTTATGCTAACGCCTATGGCCTCAGATCCTTCGAATTAAAAATTGCGCCGTAGGCTGAACTGAACAATTTTCTTCACACCTATGGTTTATTTTGTATCATGATCCACCAGCTTTACCGGAAAAGGACGTCAAACTCACTGACATCGTTTGTTGCGTCATAACAGCTAATAAATTTAATTCTTTTCACAGCCGCCGTGACGTGATTGGTGGATAAACCAAGAAGCTCGAGTTGATTGTATTACTACAAAGAACGCAGCTACGGCAAAGAGAGTAAAATTTGACCGTTTGACATGGCCGAAGAGAACAGACTACAATCGTTTCGCGACATTGTTAGCGACTACTTCGGTTACAGACTTCGACAGAAGGGAATTTTCTTGCCAGGATATCACGAGAACTCTTCTCCGTCAAGGGCAGCCTGTCATTTGCGACGGGTAGCGGATGAACTCATAGAAGAGAACAGCCAGTTGTTTGATTCCATGTGCGACCAACTTCATCTTACCCACGCCACAACTTATCCTACTTTTGTGGGGATTGCAGATGAAATTTTCCAGAATGGTGAAAACTGGGGTCGCATAGTGGCGTTTCTGGCATTTGGGGCCACTTTAGCTGTACATTGTGCGCAAAAAGAGGATCTTGCTTCAAATATTAACAACATTGTCGAATGGGTCTCAGTCTACATGAACGAAAAACTTAGCCCGTGGATCGACAATAATGGCGGATGGGTGAGTAATTGTGGATGAGAAAATTATCTGCCAAAATTTGTTCACAGCAAGGTTATTTTAGATATTAAGAGGTTGGAATAAGTTCACATATTGTGTAGTAAACGTACTCAGTGGAGTATAAAAATCGCTGATTCACTCGTTGTTGACACGAGACTGGCTTGATGGAGGGCGCGCGCTTTTATAAAATAACAAAATTGTTGAAATATTTTTAAAAATACAGAACTGTGTTTCTTTTCGAAATTAGTTTTCAATAAATATAGAAAGCGACTTTGACGATAATTTGAACAAGGTTGAAAAATTTTTGGGAGGGTTTCGTGAAATTTTTTCTTAATTATTGTAAGCTTCTTACGGAAGATAGCGGCGAATCTCTCTCAATAGCCTTCGAAATATTTTTGCCCAAAGAAGGGAAATGACAAAAAACCTAAAAATGTTCCTTTACGCCAGAAAGTAAAATGTTTCAGTTCTGCGAGGGATAAATTTAATATTCTTATTTCTTCCTGTCCGTCAGTGTTTTCGATCGTGTATTTTCAAGAATAACTTTAGCTTCCCGGGGAATTTTATTTCTCACTGGCAAGAGAAAAAAATATTTTCATCTTTCAGGTGAAGAGGGTTCCATAAATTCTATCAGAATGTGACTAGCTAGCGTTTTCGAAATATGTTGCTCAGTAAACTATATTTAATGGCAGATATTGGTTTAGAATGTTTTGGTCGCCAAATTACCAAGTCAACGTTATGGAATAGATTTGAATTAACAGTTTGCCAGAATCATCTAGTCGGCGCCAAGATGTGTATCAGAGCCTGCAGCAAGTACTTAGACGTAACAATGTTTGGAAAAGTGCGTTGGAAAGCGGCGGAAATCTATCCCATTTCCATATATGTAGCATTTTTGGGGAGATGTACAATGCTGATTAAAATGCCCTCCTCTTTATCGCTTCCTTCCTCTTTCCCTTGATTACAATTCTCGGTGTTGTGGCACGATAGAACGACGTTCTAGCAAGTTGATATAATTATGTGATAAGGTTACAGTTGGTTGGCTTCCAGCATTAACAACATTTTTTCGTTTCAAATGTTGTCCTTATTTGTGATTTAATTCGACGATATTTCCGTAGTTTGAGTTGAAGGTTTTGACCGCAATAGACCCTCTACTGCTCTTAATATTTACCTAATGGAGAAGGTATCTGCAGACACTACATATAAAAATATAACCAACTATACTTGCTAACACCGAGTAGTTTTTATAGTACAACTATATTGTTGAGATTCCATTGATAGGAAAGGCCCCTCTTTCGATTTAAGGGTGTCCGTCTCGAAACCTCCATTATGTGGAAAAATTTATTCTTTTGAAGTGATCATCATCAAAAGCATTAAAGAATATTCATAGAATTATATAATAAGCACTGCTAACTTAATGTAGTGGGGAAATAAAATGCATGGACAAGTAGTTATGTTATTTTCAGTCAATATTTCTCTCAGGTCAGGAATTGTCTGCACCTTTGTTTGCTACACATGTTGCCTGGTGACTTTGTATGTACTTAAGAGCTCAACTGAAATGATTTGTAGTATAGTGACAGCACTCCAATGCTTTTCGAGTTATTCTTAGGATGGTCTCCTTAAACAGACACTTGACGCGATTTCTTTTGTAAGAAAATTCCAGGAATTTCCCTAGAAAATTTAGAATGGACTGGAAAGGTTCAGTTCAGCTTAGGAATTTCTGAACATGGAAAGGATATTTTAAGCTCACCAGCTGGTCTAAGTTTTCTTCCACTTTAATTTCTTGGGTCATCTGTAGACACCTACAGGTAGAGAATAAGTCAAACCACCGTTCCTTCTTGTTTTCTCTATTTAACGTCAAATCATACTTATCTATTTGATGACAATATATAGAGTACAGTTAAATCCTAAAAGTACCCATATTCGATCTGACTGTTTTGCTGTTTAAGTTTTGAAACATGGTACAAATTTAATTGTACCATGTACGATTGGTTTTCCTTTACAAGTGAATTAAGCTGCTTTTGATTTTGTCTTGTAGGATGGTTTTATTGCCTTCTTCAGGAGAGAAGACGAATCTCCAGGAAAAGGGAACAAAGGCTGGCATGTTGCTGCTGTTGCTGGGCTTGGATTGGGGGCCCTGCTTATGTTAGCATGCAGATAAAAGGCATTGAAATCTTTTAACCATAGTTATTGTAATGTTGTATAGACCAGTTTTATCTCTTACTTCTCTGCTGATATTTTATCTGGCTGTATTGTTTAGTTTGAATGGACCTCATAACACGGTGATTACATAATCTCTACGTGGGAAAAAAAAAACTGGATGAAAGATTAGCAAGGATTAGTAATGTTGTATCAAACATTTTGTAGCAGGGAGAAAAATTGTCTAGAAGATAGGACTAGCTCACTAGTATCTTAGAAGTGGAATAACTTATTAAAAGGTGTTGTAAGCTGTTTGTATCTTTTAGATCAGTGAGCATGTGACATTTTTAGCTTAATATGCATGACTGTTGTTTATCCAAGAATGATATATGTGGAATATTTTCTTGCTCAAAACTCCAGCTTACCTTGAGCATTAAAGCAGTCATTTGTAAAACCGATGCACAGACATCTTTGTATCTTCTGTGAAGAGCTTATGATTATTATTATTATTTAAGTCAGTCTGTGACTAAAAGAATCTGTTTGTGAGTATATATGAACCAGCACTGGATATTGCATATTTTGATTACAGTACCAAGATGAGTACTTTTAGGGTGATATAATCAGTCAGAGTCTTTTCTGTGTTATTTCAAATCGTTCGAAATCCTTGAAAATCTGTTCTTCGTATGTTTATGATAGCAAGTAGCTAAAGAAAAAGAGGAAAGAGAAAGAAAAAACTGTTAATAAGGTGTTGGCAAAGAGGAAGAATATTTCAATTTGTTTTGAGTTCATACATGCAAGTATGTTGTAAGTTGATACAGAATCAACCATCTGGTACCCGGGTGTTAAGTAACAACAGTAAAAAATGTTGGTGTTTTAGTTTGATCAGGAGAGGAGCTGTAAGGGTTAAATTTATATATATAGATTTGTTTTGAAACTACTTGGAGAGATAAAGATCATCTAAGTTTTATCGCAGTGAAGCCATAAGAGGCCTTGTAGATACAGCTCTGTTAAGCCATTTAAGGTTGAAGGAATTAAAAGTTTCAAAACAATAGAGACAGACTTAAAGGAAATTGTTCTGATTTGATAAAGCAGCTTTCTCTCACTATGAAATTAGCCTGGATGGGAAAGAATGAAATAAAACAATAAATTTTACAGTTGTCTGTCAAATCTGTCTTGATTTCCTAATCTGGTTCCACCAAGATAAATTACTGGAGGATGAAAAGTAAATCTTGTGCACATTTACATAAATTTTTAATGTCCTGAGTCTGTCACTGATGAATTGTATTTTGCCAGCTTTTGTGGAAATTCACAGGGAGGGAACCTATCAAGGAAAGCTGTTTCAATAGCAGACAGCATGGTGCCCCTTACTAAATTTAATTTGAAAAACAAACCCTGTCTTGTGCAATATTTTTAGAATTTTTTTAATTTTGTATGAATCAGCAGGTGTTATTTAAGGATAAAACTAAATGGGATTTCTAGTTTCACTTTCATTGAAAAATTTCACAAGATTATCAAACAAGTTTTCCAAACTTGGGAATCAATAAAAGTAGTGTAAACAAGAAATGGGTCTGTTCTGTTTTCACGATTTATGCAAGAGCCAAATCATCGCACAAGTATTTTCTCGTGTCTGAAATAGCCCTTTTGATCATTGAAAAATTAAATAAAGTTGGCTTATTTTAAAAACAATGTTTGTTTTATTTAACTTAAAAAAAAAACTCATTGTGTGGGAGTGCTTGAGATAAGAATTGACTTTTAGATCTGCCTGGCTGTGCGGATGCCATGTATGTAGCCTGCAGAGCAGGCATAATTTTGGCAAGCCAGTGCACAGTATATTTTTAGTGAAAGTTATAGTTGTCATCTTTGATTGTAATGGAAGCTGAAGGCTAGGGGAAGAGGGAAATTTGTAGCAATGGGGTGAGTAACAATGAAAAAATAAGGAGGGGTGAGGGAGTCTTTTTGCCCCTTCTAACCCCTCCCCCTACTGTTGACTCTTAACACTACATGAAACATGGTTGCTTGAATAAATGATCACATGCTTCTTATTGTTAACTCACCCTAATACGACACCTGCACTGAGGATACCATAGCATTAGCAGGAACCCTAAGTACGCCAGAGGTTAAGTTCTTTCTTTATGGCCACACTAAAGTAAGCATAAATCACCTCCCCCCCTTCCATCTCCTCCCCTTAAAAATATTCTATTGCTTAAGTTAAAAAAAAATCATTTTGCATTCTACCAGACCAAGTTAGTGATGGGAACCATGGTGCTTGACTTCAGTAATGCCATGCACCCATTTAACATCAAGCAAAAATAAGGGACAGACAAAATTGAAAACAATGATTGAACACTGCACTATAGTAACCAACTTTTTCTGGAATAGCCCCTACCAATAAGCAGTCTACATTTTGATTAAAACTATTTTCTTTTTTACACTCTTCCATACTTAAAAACCAATACTTTGAACCATGCTCTCCAAATTGTCTCCCTTTATTCCATCACAGTGGAAGCATCCAGGTTCCCATCTTTAACTCGCCCTCCTCCCTCTTGCACTACTTCCATATGAAGTTACCTTTTCCATAAAATAATTATCATTCTGAACACACAGAAAAAAGGTGACAAAAGCCTCTTCCATTGTTAACTTGTTATTGTGCACATTGTACACACAAACAGCCTTTTCTTACCTGTCCAATTGACTGAAACAGCTTCCCATTTATTTCCTTTCCATAAATTTCTTAGCAATGATGAGCTCATGGAACCATATCTTATAATTTCCCCTTAAAATCCAAATGGACTCTCTCACTATTTAACATGTCTTTAAAAGTTTCTGATCCTGGTAAAAAAAAAAAAAGTCATTTCCTCTTAAGAAATATATTCAAAGAGCAAATCTGGAAAAAAAGACATTTATATTTGATCTTTCATTTCAACAATTGTGACATCACACCAACTAAGGGTGGAGCAGAATAGAGATGAGATATCAATGTAGGCTATCTTTTTAGTTCTTTCGCATTCTTTGCTCATATTCAGGGCTTTTAACAAAAGCCAGTTATCTGCCGTCCACTGCCACTCTTAAGGATTTAATCTAAAATAGTCACAGCAGTCTACTTCACAATTTATTTCACCAATTATCGAGTAAGTCATTGTAATGCACAGTCTACTTGACTTAATTATGTTTTGTATCATGACCTACAAATGAATTGCAAATCATTGTTCCGGTACTTTCCCTTGCTACTGGTTCTAAGGGATTACAAATGCAGAAATAATAGTTCAGTAGAAAATCAACCTGCCCTAAATAGCCTGTCCAGACCATTACCCAGGCTTGCTACTGCAAGAAAATCTACTTTCTCAGGACAACCAGTTAGGCTTTTATCAACCATGAGGTGCACCTAAATTAGGATGAACATAACTGACTGTTACTCATAAACAAGATGTCTCCTATGAAGCTGCTTGGGGATCTGAACAAATCCAAAATGTGCCTCTCTTTAATGTGATACTATTGTGCCTAAAGCTTTCCAATGACGCATTGTAATGATCTGAACAATACACTAACCCACATGAATACAAAAGAATATGTACCTCTCAGCTAGAAAAAAATATTACTTTTATCTTTTCTCTCTATTAATAAAAGAAATATTCTAACTAAACTCACTCATTAAATATTTTCACCCAAGAAAGGTATAAAGCCACTGGTTTATTAATACAAAATTGCAAAACTACATGTTTAATACACAGTATTAACGTTGAGTATTTATGACAAGCCAAATGACTTCTAGAGTATGAAACTGATACAAAGAAACATACATGTGTATATTAATTGGGAGTGTGCTGTGGGTAGTAATTTTTACAAGCATATAAAGTTAACAATTTCACTTAAAGCACATTTACCAACTTAAGAAAACTGCTCCACTGGATTACCTCTCAACATGCTAAATGTCTTTTTTCCCCAGACTTAAGGATCTACTTTTTTTAAGTCATTGTTTGTGGAATCAATGTATTTTTAATCAGCATTTCTAAATGCCACTTTATTTACCTTGGAAAATAATTGTACCAACGTTAATGTAAATGTCTATGCTTCTATACCTTCCCCCTTTTTATGGTGTCAATGAGTAAGCCAACAAACATGATAAGTACGTAAATTTTTAAATACATGTAACTTCTAATCTAGTACCTATCACTGACAGTGACAGCTTTGAAGTAGTTATATACACACTAGGGCCACTCAATACTAAAATTAAATCCTTAAAAAATTCAAAACATGGTTTCTCTTTTTTGTTTAGGGTTTGTAAGACAAACCTAACCCTCTCCCACATAAAGAATATCATGAATAAATTAGACTCCATATAAAAATGAAACTGCCAAAATATTCAAATAGTACATTTAAAACTTGTAGTGTTACTATGATAAAATTTTCATCCCACAATACACTCACTGATAACACAAACTGTTGTTCTAATTGCACTACACTCTTTCAAGTTCTCTCTGGCATAATTTAATTTCTTTGCTGATTTCAACTTATTTAGTAAAATCAAATTTGCCAAGCACCATCAAACACTTTTCAGGTGATGAAGTGGAGGTATCATTGGCAAATATCAAGATATGTTAAAACTGTCAATAATACCTAAATTGTGGAACAAGTTTAATAAAATCATTTTGTGATAAATTATTGAAGATGCCTTCATTTTCATGGAAAATTTGGTCGAGTGTAGGACATCAACAAATCTCTAGTTTTGTATTTCCCTAACTTGCATATCTCTTGGAGGAAAACAATAAAGAGCATTATTTTATCTCCTTATTTAAGGCATCTTCAAAAAGCCTTGATTGAAGAGATACAAATTTCATCATAGCAACATCAACAATGAATGAAAAAATGACATTTTGTGATAAAGACCACCTCCCAGTTAGCTCAATGGATAGAGCACTGGACTGTTGTGTGGGAGGTCGAGGGTTTGAGCCCCGGTCAGACCAACACTCAAGGTCTTAAAATAATTGAGAAGAATATACTTCCTTTCAATAACATCAAGAAATGGTTTAGATATTCTAGTCTTCTCGGATAGGGACGAATAAATGGAGGTCCCGTCTCCTGGAGGAGGGGCAGGAGATGTTAATTTCCCACGCACGAGATTAATGTGTGATGGATGTCCTTCCCCAGGGCGGGATGGGTGGTTTGGGTTTAGGTGGATGAACCTAGTAGGGGACTACGTGTCCTTTTGTTCTTCCACTTGTACAATGTACAAATCTTTAGAAACAGAAACAAGACTTTTGCTATGTAAATTTGTCATAAAATAACCTAACCATTACCACACCTTCCCAACAAACAATAATTTGGTTACAACTAAAAAATAATCGAAACACAAATTTAAAGTAGCATCATAATCGGAAGGCTCTTTCTTTTGATAAACATTAATTGCTTTGACAACATAACAGGTTTTTATAGCTACTACAGCTAATATACATGCACACTATATTAAACTACAACAACATTATATGTGAAAATAAATAGGAGATTTTATGTGAAAATAAATAGGAGATTTTTTATGACAAGTTGGGAATGGTGGTCCAATATCTCGCAAAATATTACTATTTATAAATTTATGTTCTAAACTACCCATATACCCACAATTTGATAGGTTCTCATACCTACCATGAAGGTGTTTCTAAGGACAATGTATTAATGATGTCATCATTACCAATATTTTACCCTCTCTATTGAATGCATATCAAAAAACTATTTCCATTTTTCTGTACCCATCCTCAATAGTAGATTAAAAGAGACATCAAAGTGTGGCAGGAACAATTCATTTTGGTGCCCCTCTCTGATTTCAACACCTCTCTGTTTGTTGTAACCCCAGACACAGGCAAAGTGGAATCATACAATTGTTACAAAACAATAACATAGAGGTGTCAAAGTCCATTCATTAGATAATCTACTTTGGAATATCTTGGTCTGTGAAATGCAAACCACCAAGGACGACCGATCAGAACAACAGCAGCACAAAGGAACAAAATACCAAATCCAAGAGCTATAACCAGGGATGGATATGTGGTGTGATTGTCACCATACAATTCCCTGACCAATTTCTTTGGAAGTGATGTTGCTGAGGCTAGAAAAAAAGAATTCCACAGTCTTCAACTTAAGACACAACCTTCATCCAAGACTTAGATTATTACCAAGCATTTATTTCCCTTTTGTTTTTGAAATACCAAATGAATATTTTCTTTCACACAAAAAAAA